ATACAGCATGAATGCTAGGCGAAGAATCTGTGAATGGGCTCTGCCGCTGTTCTGACAGTGTTATTGAGGCTAAGCTGATCCATACAGACCATTATGCAGCTGCCAGTGGAATAGTTGCCACGAAAGGCCGACGATAGCAATAATCCTGAATATGGTCAGTATGATACTATATGATACTCTTATGGGGTTGGGTGCAGTAGTAGGTAAGTCATAGCATGACCAACAACATGCGCAGCGACCAACATGTAGAGTTTGTCCCGTTTCTCACCATTTCGACTCTCTACATTCCTGCGGTCTTTACTCTCATCGGCCATGCGGCCTTGGGCATTCGGAGCATTAGTCTTGACGATAATCAGCAGTCGGGTTGTTCATAGGCAAGGTGCGACCGGTCAACCGCTCATTCGAAAAAGGACGACAAAACCAGCCGGCAACAACGACCCCCACCGCGCCCCCCATTCTCCATTGTGCAGGCTCAATCGGGCATTGCAGGTGCGACAGAACTGTATCTGTAGGCCTAAAGTCCATTGTCTGTTCATAGGAATGATAATTCAAGCAGGTCCATTGACTATCATACCAACAAGGAAGTGGTAGCCTTAGGTTACTCGTCAGAGGCATCATCTCTTCTGATGGATTATGTTAAACACAGCCACAGCCCCTCATTCAGCGTCAGACCCCACAGCGATACACGTCCAGCTTCCCACTTGTCGCCAGAGCTGAACGAGCTGAACGAGCTGAACAACACCAAACTCGATTCGGCAGGGCATGGTTCTTGGCCCTCTACTCATCTTGCTCAGCGCTTCGAACTGTTGATGTCCCTCTTCAATGTGCTTGCGATTGCTATCATTGACGAGCGTAGTTGGACAAGTCGGGCTTCTCGTCTCTATAATATCACGCTTCCGACTCACCGACTCTTTCGCCTGAAGGGCGGGCTCAGCCATGAACTCGTCAAAGTTCACCTTCGACTTTGGCAGCAATAATTCACAACCCACTTTCCATGGAGCGCCTGCACCCGACAATGCACTATGCGAATTGTGCGAAGATATGGTCAAGCAATCCAAAATCATCCGCAGCGCACCAAAATGGGAACATCCAACAACCGACGACGATCACGCGGAGGTAACGATAATAGAAGAGCCCCAATATGCTCACAGGTCGGCTCCAAAGGTCGAAGTGTTTGACCATTATAACACCCTGGGAGCTCTCAGGGCATCAGCCAAGCAATGCCATTTATGTGCGCTCCTAGGCGCATACGATCCGGATTTCCCAGAGCTTGTCGACGATTCATCAAACGATATCCGCTACACGATGAAAGTGCTACGCGCCGATTTGCACGCTGATGGACCGGGTTTGCTCAAGGTAGACCTGAGGAGAGGAAAAGAGACAGGCGCAACTTACCTCATGCACGGACGGCCCAAAAGGACTAATCGGACGACGCTCGTTGCTGGACGCACCGATGACTTCAAGGTTCTGAGCCTTGCAAGGGATTGGCTGAACAAGTGCATTCATGAACACGATGGATGCAGTCGCCGCTCACATCCGACCGCTGATTGGCATCTCCCAACCCGGCTCGTCAAAGTGTCTGGGTTTATGACGAATGTATTCTCGATGAAACTCTGCCTGGGGAAAGATCTCCCAGCGGGCACGAAATACTTGACATTGAGCCATTGCTGGGGAGGCGTTGATATCATTAAGCTAACAGCAGACAATCTACAGTCCTTCCAGTCCAACATACCGCTCGAAGGAATGCCACGCAACTTCAGAGATGCCGCCGCCGTCACGCTCTTTATGGGGTATGAGTACTTATGGATTGACTCACTGTGCATCATACAAGGTTCTGTCGACGACTGGGACCGCGAAGCAGCCCTAATGGGAAACGTGTACCGGTATTGCGTGTTGAACATCGCAGCTACCGCTGCGACGAATCCGCACGATGGATTCTTCGTAGACAGAAACTCGCATTCCTTCACCAAGTGCCAGCTTATCCCCACCGTGCGAGGACGAGGAGGCGTGTATGCCGAGAACTGGCGTGATAGAGCGGGCAAAGAAATTCTCAATTCGCGAGGATGGGTCTGTCAAGAGACCGCTCTCGCGCCGCGAACGTTGTACTTCAAGTCCATGATGACCGGCTGGAAGTGTACCATGGCGTCCGCGCAGGAGAACGATGCAGACCTTTCGACGTGGTCACAAACGTCGGATATTAAACGAGACTTTTACGAGCTTCTTGATAAGGCAAAGAACGGCGACTATGACAGCTGGTTTGGCAAGTGGTGGAAGATTATCTCTACATACACGAATTGCAATTTGACCTTCGACTCAGACAGGTGGCCAGCGATCATGGGTCTCGCGACAGCAGTCGAGCATCAATCTGGTCACCGGCTGATTAATGGGTTGTGGGAATCGAATCTGGCCTCGGAGCTTACGTGGAGAGCCTCTAGCCCGTCAAAAGCAAAACGACTTAGTGATGGCTTTCCATCATGGTCATGGCTGAGTTTGACCGCCCCGGTATCCAAAATGGGATACAATCTGAAGAAGCACTTCGCCATAAGCGCAGCTGTCTCCCTACAGACCCACCCTCCGAACAACAATAGGCTCTTTATACGGGCACGAATGGCGAAGATCAAGTGGGCGGTCAAATATTACGGCGACGGACATTTCGAATATTGCTACCGTTTTCTGGCTCCTACAAGGGATGTGAACGGGAACTGGGACGGAAGATGGGATCCCGATACAAGCCCGAACGAAGCTTGGGATATCTGGTGTCTGGAATTCATCACCGACGCCAAACTCAAGGAAGCGGCTGGGCTTGTGGTGAAGCGTGAGAAGAAGGACACAGGCGACGTGTGGACCAGAGTAGGCGCATATGCGCTCCAGCCATATGCAAGCTATGGTGATAGCCCTGCTTGGGACTGCTTGAAAATGGATACAATCACGTTGGAGTGAAGAAGTCGAAGGTAGCGACCGAGATTATTGGCACTCGCGGGTGCCGGCTTCATTAGCGACATTCGTACGGTGGTACATTCCCCCTCTATAAGAGCACCGACGAAGAGGCAGTATTTCCTACACCCGAAAATGATTATGCACGCGATCGGGCACAGCCGTGGGGGCAATGCAACTAGGCTTTGAGAGCGAGGCGAACCAGAAATATTCGCAGGAAGCAGCCTACTTTTAGGTTAGCGGGCAGCAGGCGATACTTGGAAGGAACCCGACACGACGGATTATGGCCTATTTGGGGATGTAGAACTGTTGACCACAGGCTACAATGATGCCTGCCCCAATGTAACAATTACGACAGCCAAAAATGCCAGACCGCTTTGTGCCAGTGCGAAGCCGTACAGGCTCCCGAAGGTGTAAATAAATGACCCGAAGAATCAACACCACGCCGAATATATATGCGGCGTAGATGCCGACCAAACTGGCGATAAGCTCGGTGGTCATCATATGGAGGTGACGAAGCAGCCCGACGGTCGCGAATTCCTCCGCAGTGCTGGAGACAGGCCCTTTTGGTGATATCTCCATTCCTACTGTCATCACAGTATTGCGAGCATGAGGAATTGATTGGGATTCCTTCGCGAATGTGATCATAAGTGAGGACACCAAAGTTGACATAACCAACTCACACTCTCAACTCAAACAGACCCTCTCGACCCCTGCAAGATTAAGGGATGCGTCACCGGGAATGGCAAACGTGGTCGTTAATTAATCCGATCATGTTGATTTTGTGACAATAGGCTTCGGCCCATCGAGAAAGGCATGACAGTGCGACTGCCAATCACTCATGCCGGTAGGAATAACAAACAGCAACATGATGTACTGATGATTCCGACCTCAGCCCGTCGTCAAATCAATGGGCCTCATTGCATAGAGGCGATATGTAGCTGAGACGAAGTGATTGAATCTGATTATGTGCGATTTCGCACTCCGCGCGGTCCCAAGCTGTTGATAGTTTTGGCACCATGTACATGTCCATACGTGTAAATGAGCCGTGTCGGTGGAGTGGAAGCAATCTCTGAAGGTCTGTAAAGCCTGCGGCGCCGAGCTCTGGGGGCGGCCTCGGAAATTCCGCGTCGCGACCGAGCCCCGACTGGCAGTTGATTCCCGCCCACATCATGTTTGGGAAGACTGCCCAAAACCTGTGAGACATCTCAACAACGAGCTTACCACCCGAGTAATATCATTCAAAGACAATTACGCAATGGTGAAAGTGATTAGTCACGAGTCATGAAAGCCAAGATTCTTGCAAAAAAAAAACCTAGATATCACGGCAAAAATACAAAAACAAAACATACAACACCAGGTATTCGCTGGTCGTCACCGACCCAACTACTAATCTGGCGGTATCAAGCTTGTCTAGGGCAGAGCGGACGGGATGCCGAATTTTCTTGATCCGATGGTCGTATGTGGTGATCCAAGCCAGTAGTGGAGGATATGGAGTATGATACTCCATTTTCTAGCGCTTCGGTGCTGAATGGTGGGTCTCAGATTCTAGTGTGGCTAGCAAGGGTATGCTGAGTAAGGTACTTGGGGATGATCTTGGCACGAACGCATGGGAAGTCTTGGAGTGGTACCAGTCATTGGTGTCGGAGTTGGTACGACGTTCGCTGGCAGCCCTGTCTCTTCGATAAGCGAGTGAGTTGCTATCCTCGTTTCTGTGATAGCCCGTGGGCAACGACTGAGACACTAGTCTGCATCTAAAAGGCACTCCGTCTTGAAGATGATAATGCTGAGACAAGCCATGCGATCTACCGGAAAGTCGCAATGCTATCGCGTGTTCACTCGTGAGCTCGAACGCGATAATGGTGAAAGCTCACTTGATACTCTCGATCTGTTAAATTCTGAGACATTACTCCACGATGTCTGGCGAAAGGACAAACCATCTCCCGAGTTCCAAAACGACGGGTTAAATAGAAGCGTAGCGTCATGTGGTGATGATTCTTCAACAGGTTTGATTCAAAAGTATTCCAACGAGGGTAAAAGAAAGATGATAAATCATAAGAAAAAGTTGGACACTCTGGGGGTCGAACCCAGGTCTGCAGGTCCCGATTAAGGGTACCTGCTGTCTTCCCATCTCGACCAAGTGCCCTAAATGTTGTTCTTTGATCTCTATGTTGTATTATACTTGGACTCCGGCTTCTGCGCTGTTAATTCCACTTGTTGGCCGGTGATGGAAGCTGGTGACTCAACATGCAAACCTTGTGATGAGGAGCATGTGATTCTGGTGTGTACTGCCACTGTACGAAGCGGACTCCGTTGGTCCCAGGTAGGAAACTCAACTGTCTAACCTGGCTGACACATTGCCATATTTACTCGTGCTTCATTTCATTTCGACTATAGGCATATAGAGCGATAAAATAGGATGTTTTTAGCGTTATTGGCGCTTCATGTTGAGGGCGGTAAGAAAGGATGATATCTGATAAGGAGTGAGAAGACCAAGATGCAAATACTGATACGGAGTACCTAATGTAAGCGCGGCCATTCTCTCGCTCGGGCCGAGTTTCTGCAATGCGACACAAGGGACAAAGAGTCGTTTCACCCAGCTACCCAACGCAAGCCCAGATGAGTGCTGGCGATTCCAATAGGTATATCTTGCAGGTGTTGATCACGTCATTGCTGAGATGAACCGTCGCGAAATCTGTGATGCCAGCTTCGCGATCGGAAAGGTTGAGCCGACGAAGAACCAACATATCTAGCATCACGATGCTGGCGGGAGGTCGAGGTCGCAACGATGATGTGTTGTTCAACACAAGTCAATCAGCTTTCAAGAACCCATCATGGCTGTCCCCAAGGTTGCTGACAGTAATCATCAGAATATAAGCATGTTGTATACCTCATATAGAACGGAATCTAAGTACGCCGAACGCCAATGCCAATGCATACGCTTCGAGTCTTGGCTGCATCGTCGCGCGTTTGAAAAAGAATCCTCCATTCTCCCGAACCCGCCTCAAAAGACAGGATATGCATGTAACCCATGCCGAATCTCAATACCAGTTTCCTTTGTTCATGATCCATCCGAAGGGCGCTTAGCACTGTCCCTCGTATAATATTCGTAACTCCCCGTCATTCCATTCCCTATGTGCACAACCGACCGGAAATAAAAGTACCGAGGAATACTCCAGCCAAGACGGACAAGAAGTATCCGACGTTCAATGTCATGACTGCCAACATGCTATAGCCGGACCGGAAGATTAGTGATGTCTCAGACACGCAGAAACGTTGTCGGGTTGACTCACAGTAGATAGCCGATACCACTGATTACAACCTCGAGGAACGACCGACCAGCTTCTCGGGTGAAGTTGAATGGATGTCGAAGGGAAGCTTCGCGTAATTGTCGCCTGACGTCGCCCATGTGCGGTGGCCGGGTCCGTTGGGACATCAGCGACTCTTTGTCGTCGTGGATGTGTCTGTTGGAAACGAGGTTGATGTTGCGGTCAAAGGCAATGGTGCGTAGCAAGATGAGAAACCGGTGCGTCGTCGCAAGTAATATCAGAAAGATGCAAGTTGCAACGTATGTGCCCTCGCCGGTCGGCGCCCAAGCATTCGACCACAGAGGCGTCGTGAAGCTCTTGAAGAAGGTCATGGACATCTCAGAGGCCATCATCATGTCATCATCTGCCATCGTGTCCGACATGGAGCTGCTGCCCCCGTCTGAGTGGTGCTGGGTCGTTGGTAGCATTGTGTTTGAGCTGGTCTGTGGTTGTGTGAAATTAAGGGTGGTGAAGCGTGGTTGTAATTTGTTCCGTGGACGACGGGAGGCAGCACCGTTGGTGCAGTGAAGATGTGTGGAGGGCACAAGTAGAGAGATGTATTGGAAGTCTGGTGGATTTAGAATGGTACCAATTTACAATCGATGAAGGTGAGTTGGATTAAGGTTATTTGGAATATCATGCAGATAGCCATCAAAAACGGGGTCACTGAGGTGGTAAGAGCAAGTTGCGTGAAACCCATCCGCAGATACTTGAAGGCGTGGTGTGCTGTTCGACATGAGAGCCAAGGGAACACCCCACCCTTGTTCATCTGTTCTGTTTTCCGGGCCCTTGTCGCAGTCTGCAGACGCCGCACGGCATCTGCACGGCATCAGCATCGCACGGGTCCTACTATACCCATTCCCGTCCTAGCGGCAACCCTGAGCTGTCACATTATGTGTAGCTTTCTACGGAGAGTCAAAAGAAACATGCTCAAATAGACTCCTCTCCAATATTCCGTAATCCTCGATCGGGTGCGATGTCCTGCTACGTAAAGCTGCGAAAAGGTTTGATCTGCAACGCGCTCGGAGGAGAAGAGAGTCTGTGCTGCCGTTGCACTGTGTTCCTGTAGATTGACTTGCCCACCGGAATAGTCGATGATCATTCGGGTGCACCTCCAAAGTATAAAGTGCTGGCACACATCCTCATCTCGTTTCCTCCTTTGAGACCGCTTTCAAGGACTCCAATACGTGTACTCAGGCGTGAATAAGCAGAGAGCCCTTACCCACAAGCCACAGGGTCGTCTGCAAAGAGGCTGCATTTAATCTGCTCAAATGCACTCAATGGCGGGGTTGGCGGGGCAGGAACAGCTCTGAGTGCCCCGCCGGCGGTATCGACAGCAGGGATATAGGCGCATCCACCGCCTGATCCGCTGCCTCTGGAATTCTGGCGCACTCCTAGACTTCGAGCCATTGGCCGCTGCATGTTTCCGAGACTCTGTGGTGGGTGTCCCTGGGAGGACCCCTGCCGAGAAACTTGCTCAATCCCTCTCGCTCCAAACCTAATGCGGTAATCTGTGGACTTGCTATCTGACCACACTCCATGTTTTTGCGACAGCTCGCAGTCTCACACATCTATCGCGCCAACACTTGGTTGGTTTCGAGTACTTGAACATAGGAATGGAATTTGTGCCCTGCATTTGTACTATCTACCACGGCTTGGTGAAGGCCGCAGGATAGTCCAACGCCCATCGCCAAACCCACGCCGTTTCCGCAACGGGCCACTAGTATAGTTGCATCCGCAGCTGTAGGACAACATGTTTTATCACTTGCGGCGTCGATGAACATGCGACAGGAAACAAGATAATCGGGTTGCAGGCGCACACCTCGTGTAGAACTGGGGTTCCAGATCCATGCCACATCATACATGAGAAGGTTTCTGATTGTGACTCGTGAGTAGTCGACTTGTTCCTTGAATCCGCTTCCATGACGAATCAGAAATAATACGCTGCCCCAATCCGATCTTGTCGACCATCCCACACATATTACAAGTACACAGTCGGAAGCCAGTTGATTAATTTCATCATCTCCAAATATTGTTGTGTCTCTTAATTTGAAACTGATCTTGCTCCAACCAGCCTCGCTGCACTCAGCTCTATCATTGCTACTCAATACAACCATCTTATACTGTTTACAGCAAAAGGTGCATCTCGCCACCCAGCGCGGGTAGGGTGCTCACCATGAAGGTCTCCGCCGCCTTCTCTCTCCTTGCTGCCCTTCATGGCGTCCGCTTTGCCAGCGCAGCAATGGACAGCGCTGTTGGCAAAAATGGCATTGTTGGCTTTGGGATCGAATTATGGCCCGACTTATGTTGCGCCTCCTGCGCCGACTCATTATCCGCCCTCTATCTAAGCTGTACGACTTTCCCAAATAGCACTACAACTGATTCCGACATGGACGACATGGACGATATGGGCATGGATGACATGGGAATGGACGAGATGCCTGAGACCAGCGATGATTGTCGAGCAAGCAATACACCGTGGCTCCAATCTATGGCTTATTGCATCCAACAAAACTGCAAGACCGATGGACTTTCGGCGAGCAGGCAAGCGAAGTGCTTCAAGGACGAAGCAGCTATGGGAGCTGAGACACCGACATTTGAAGACAGCTTGCCTGAAACGGCTCCGACAGTCGAGTTGGCCTCGGATGCTCTCTGGTTGAACAAGACCAGCCTGGTCAACAGCGAACTCTACTCGTCAACTTATTGGACTTATAGCGAGTTCAAAAAATCTGAAAATATGCACAGTCAATACAAGTAAGTTGATACTTTGCATGTTGGCGAACGATCTCAATGCTTCAATACATACTCACATCACTGTCTTCAGTATCATCCTCATTGTTCTCGTTCTTGGCTTCTGCCTCGCCTGTGGTATTGTCAATCAACTCACGGCCGCTGTTCCCCAAATCCGCAAGTCAGCCCAATCTTCCTGGGTCTACTCGAAACTCCAGCAGTACTTGCTCCTCCCAGCCCTCGTTGGCTCCCGACACCTGCGACCAATGTCTTTCGGCTATGTTCCTGGCCGTATGCTCAGCATCTTCATCACCATCTACATCATCCTCAACGTCGTATTTTCCTCCCTTCAATTCAGCAGCCGTCAGCCAAACATCTGGTTTTTGTCCATGGGTTTCGAAATGTGCGAGTACGTGGGGAACCGAACGGGAAACCTCAGTCTGGTCAATACCGCGATCACGATCCTCTTTGCCGGACGAAACAACCTGCTCATTGGCTTGACAGGGTGGAGTCAGAACACCTTCTTGACGCTGCATCGCTGGAGTGCAAGAGTGGCCACAGTCCAAGCTATCGTACACTCGATCATTTACACCATGGCCTACTGGGAGCCAGGCTATGAGGGCGCTAAGAAGTACGCAGAGCAAGTCGCGATGCCATTTTATGTAAGTGATAAGCCGATCAAGCTCACCTTGCGCAATGTACTCATTCTTTTCACAACAGTGGTGGGGAATCATCGCTACGATCGCGTATGCCTTGGCGGCTTCGTTCTCAGTCTTGCCAATCCGTATGACCTATTACGACACATTTTTGATCCTGCATATCGGTCTCGCCATCTTGGCTCTAGTCGGGTGCTGGTACCACATCGTTCCTCATTTCGGGTTCACTTACGGCTACCAGACGTGGCTATACATCGCTTTCGCCTTTTGGTCTGCAGACCGTCTCGCTAGACTTGTTCGTCTGGGGTACTATAACCTCCGAGGCTCCTCTTCGGCCATTGTCAAAGCTGTCCCAGGTTGCGACGTGTTCGAGGTCACTGTTTTCCCAAGTGTCAGTTGGGGGTTCGGACCTGGCCAGCACAGTTTTCTCTACACCCCACACATCGGAGCGG